TAGTAATATATTATTATTTCTTCCAAGTAGCATCGTCAACTGTTTCTTTTTCTCAGACAGCTAAGGCTCTTATATGGTTCCTGGTGTTTTGCCATCGACTCACGGCTCACATAAACCTCATGAAACAAGGGGCTGGGGTGGAGAGCTCCTTGCCTATAAATTCAGCAAACACTGTGATTTCATTATTCGAAATCGTGAAGGGGAGACTACTGCGAACTCCCGCTCAGTGTTCTGCTGACCCACATGTTTTTTCAATAAGAAAACTGAATACTCTGCAACGCCGACGTCCTGAACTTAAGATATTCAGGAGGTAATATAGCCCCCAGATTCAAGAGTCCAGACTCCATATAGGAAGTTCTGAGAACTCCTGATCTGCCCCCTTCCCACCCACCTGTGGGCCACCCTGCATAGGCATCAGGTTTTTATTTTTTTCTTTTGCAAATATGAACATAAGTTCTTATTCTCTTCCTTTTATTTTTTAAATAATTATTTCATTTTATTTATTAATATTGTTATTATTATTATTATTATTATTTAATTTGCTATCACCAGAAAGAGATAGAAAGAGAAGGAAAGTGAAAAAGCAAGCTGCCAGGTCCAGGACTCGAACCACAGTCATCCATGTGGGAGTCTAGCACCTTAACCACCATGCCACCTGCTATCCCCAATCCCTTTTATTTCTTAAAAGTCTTTCCCTCCTTAGATCTAGTCTGGAAATGTTCTGGTCATAAAAACATAGGCAGCTGGCAGGATTTGACCTGTGGGCCACACCGGCCAACCTGCCTTGAACAGACTTACTGGGTAGCCCACTAGGATCCGATTTTTCCACATCAGTACGTGGGTGTGAGATGATTGACACGAAGCAGGTTTAGTTTGTAAATAGTTGATTGGGATATTTTTGTTCTATGAGGGTACAGAGTTGAAAGGAGTTTAATGTTTCCAGACTGTCTCCAATTCTGCTGAGTCAAACCCTTTCCCCATAACAAAATTTCCTTCAAATTTCCAACCTTGACCTTTCTTTCTGGATCTCAATACAGTCACTCACAGCCGTTTTGTTTTTTTAACAATGTTACGCCAATTAATTCAACAAAGTGGATGAAATGAACACAACGCTTGAAAGACAAAGACTCCCAAAGGTCACTCGAGAAGAAATAAATAACTCAACAACTATCCTGCCTCAACTATGGAAATCGGAACTCGTGGTTTAAAATTTTCACACAAAGAAAACTCCAGGCCCAATCATCTTCACTAGTCATTTCTTCCAAACAGTTAAAGAAGCAATGACATATAAATTCTTCAAGAGGAAGGATTGTGGGAACCAGCAGTTAACGGAATGGCTATGTCGCTGGACTCCCACGTAGTCGACCACGGTTCGCATCCCGGACTCGGTGGCTTAAAACTCACGCCGGGCGCGTGTGCATGCATGCCCAAGATCTCGAGAGGAGAATGGAGGAGAGGGGATTGCGGCGTGACCATCTCCCCTGGGGGGTGATTTCTCGCTGTCTGTCTCTGTATCGCTCTGTCTGGCGAGCGCACGTGCCCTATAGCGAAAACCTCTCCAAAAAAAAAAAAAGAGGAAGGACTATTTCCCAACTCGTTCTGTGAGGTCAACATTCAATGAAACCACTCGCAGCCTTTAAGAGTGGTTTAGAAGCTTGTTCCATACACTGTCCCAAGACTGGCCTTGAGTCTCGAGAGACTTGGAGGGCAGGGGCGGGGTGTCTGGCTGGCAGCCTCCCCCTTTCCCCTTGGTGTCAGAGTAGCACAAGGGACAGGAAGGGAGGAATTTCTCCCTCTGTGGCTACCACGAGGATGCTGTGGCCCTCCTCTGTGTTAGTCGCTAACTGCTCTTGGCTCACTGTCTGTGGGCTCTGTAGACAGAGGCCCCAGCAATTCAGGCCGTGGTGGGATGTACCATTAGGAATAAGATGCTGTTAGAGGCAGCAGAAAACCCAGATGATAGTGTCGTAAGTGAGCCAGAGGGCATTAGAAGTCGGCTATTACAGAGGCCCCAATGTTGTCGGTGACTTAAGCTCTTTGTAGTTCGTTGCTCTGCTAACCTTAGGGTAAGGCTCTTAGCCACATTCTCACAAAAGGCTGCCAGAGTTCCAGCTATCTCATCCAAGTTACAAGAAATACAATACAGTAAAAGAGCTACAGAAGGAAAGGATATTGCTTACAATTGTGAAGCAAAAGCATCCCAGAAGTGTCCCAGGCACTGACCAGGCCTGTTACTTAAACGACCTGAGCGGCAAGCAGGCAGTGTAGACCTTAGCTAGGTGTTTCGCTTCCTCCAACAGAACTGAAGTTGCCTTAGTAAGGAAGAAGGGAGGGTGGCTGTTAGTAGACAACACATATCTTCGCTGCACGGTTCTTGCCAGATGCAATAGTGTTTCCCAGTGAACCAGCTTGTGGCCTGGCACTGCTCTGCTGGCCCTGCCTCTTGCAAATCTGTAACCTCGAACTCATCTGCCCTCAGGCACCTCCACCTCCAGGACCAGCTGCTTTGGCCAGGGTCTATCTCCTGTACTCCTGGGAGATCAGACGCCACAGAGAACGTCCTGCCGCCCACTGTCTATCTCTCTGCCTGCTCTCCTGCCTCTTCCAAGCATCCCCTCCAGTGTCGCGTGCCCTGCCGTCTGGGGGCTCGGCAGTTTGCAAACAACTTAATGAAGGGGGATTATGGGAGCCAGCAGATCACATAGTGGTTTCATCGCTGGACTTGCACATGGCTGACCATGGTTCGAATCCCAGACCTGGTGACTTGAAAATCATACCGGGCACATGTGTGTGTGTGCCCAAGATCCTGGGAGGGGAATGGAGGAGAAGGGACTGTGGAGTAGCGTTGTTCCCTGGGGGAGGGGGGATTTCTTGCTTTCCCTCTCTCTCTCTCTCTCTCTCTCTCTCTCCCTCTCTCTCTCTCTCTCCCTCTCCAGTGAATGCATGCACCTTATGGCAAAAACCTCTAAAAAACAAAAGAAAAGGGGATCGTGTGGCTAGCCCAGGCTTTACAAAGGATCTGATTAAGGTAAAGGAATCGTTCTTCAGTCCAGCCCTCACCTGCACAGTTGGTAGCAGACTGGACTGCAGCATTGGAAGGCATGTGGCCGGTTGCATGTTCGGATCTCTAGGGCAGCTTGAAAACAGCCTGGTACAAGCACAGACAGGTGCCCAAGATCCTGAGAAGCTGGAAGGCTGGGGAAGGAGGACCACCACGTGATGAGACCCTGGGGAGAGTGCTCCTCTCTCTCTTTATATATATCTACGTGTGTGTGCATGCACATGAGCAAGCGTGTGCTCTTTTGTGAATAAGATAAACCTTAGAAAAGGGAATCCCTCCTCTCTCACAAACACTGCATGTCTCCAACCACGTCCCTGCGCAAGCCCTGCCCGTAGATGGCCAAGGGGAAGCAGCAGGGGCGTGGCTGGAACTGCCATAGTCACTGGTGGTTTTCTGAACTTAGATTGTCATCACTACAGGCTTTCTCCCCCAATCTATGCTGTAGCTGAAACTCTGGAGTGACCGTAAACCCCCTGGGCTCCCATCATACCCGTCATTCTAGGCATGCATTTCTCACCACCCCACCGCTCCCCGCAGAACACGGTCCCTTACCCTCTCTGATGGTGCAGTTCCGAGGCTGACATGTGACTCTGACCTTCAAGCCCCATTATTTTTTCACACGTATTCATAACTGCAGAGACGTCTGCCGTAAATGTGCCCACGAAACCAGCACGAAGCAGAAGGAAGCCACGTGGCTAAAATGAAGTCCAGTTAATGGGTTTGAAACGGTTGTTGGGTTTTGAGCCTCATCGCTTCCAGCCTTTCAAAAAGCTTTGGGGTAGTCATCATCAGGGCAATAATACGATCCATGTCACAGATAAAAAGCCTGGTTTCCGTTTTCCTGCATTCTAAACTTGGTTGAATGCACGTGGGCTTTGGGAGCGCCGAGGGAGCCAGGCTGTGTGCGAGAGTGCCGAGCGCACCTCAGAGCAGCGGAAGCAGATCCTCAAGGAGGCTTTTCATCATCCAAGCCTGTGTCTCCAGGCTTCTTCTTTCATCCAGTTCAACTACCGTCCCCAACCTCCCTCATCTGGGGACAGATCATCCCTCCACCTCAGACTTTGATTCTCCCAACTACGTAGCAATTTGGGTGGTTTTATCCTGAATCCCACAAGTGAACAGCGCTGCAGGTTGGAGGCCTAGTGTTCTGGGAGGGACTGATTCTGCAAAGTATTCATTCCTGGCCAGAGAACCTAGGGGAGCAAAGTCCCTTTGGAGACGTCTGAGGAGTGCTGCCCTCGGCCAACATGGCTGACCCATTACTGTTTTCTGGGCCTAGACCCTGGCCTAGACCAGCTCGGCCACTGGCAGGAAGGGGAGGTCCTCTTTGGTCCATGGCAGCCCTGAGACTCCAGGATTGCAGCTGCATCTCTACTGGAGTGAGGTTCCATGATGCATGCCAGGAACTGTGCGTGTTTAATTCTCTTCTGTAGCTCCAGTGCCTAGGAACACTCTCTCTTTCTCTCTGTCTCTCTGTCTCTCTCTCTCTCTCTCTCTCACACACACACAGTAAATACACTGGTTCAATGAATGAACGTCAACCCCAGGCTAGCGCACCCCTCCCCCGCCCTGACTGGGACTCTTCTGCAGTAGACTCTGGGCTTGAGCAGACGCTGGTCACAGGTAGATGAACCAGAGCACAGTCAGATCTGGTGAGACCCACTCGGGCGTGTGCACCGGAGGCTGGCCCCAAATCCTACAGCAATGCTAGCGCCAGGTCTACAAGGCAGTGGTCATCACTATCCGACCTCTGCAGCAAGTGGCGGGGAGCAGAGTGTGGACATGCTGAGAAGCAGAGGTGGCTCCCCTCCATCTGGCTGTCACCTCCCTGCAGAGGCGGGTCACCGTATTATTCCCGATGCTCGGCACATTTATACCGAATCGTCCCGGCACAACGTCTTATTCTGAACAGATAACTCGTCTTCCTTTTAAACAGTGAGGCTAATTCAGTTTATTGATCAAGCTTTCAGATGAGTCAGTGGGGCATTGAAGAAAGTTTCCTTCTTGTATCTAAAAAAAGAAGAAGAAGGTGGGAAAAAAGAGCAGACTGCAAAGAAAGGCGTACGTGGTTTACAGTTTGGAACATTTCTTTCTGAACCTTTAGGAAAGTTTCCCTTTGAGGCTTAATACAGCCAAGACCAGAGTGGAAAATGTGCTTATCTGTGATCTTAGATGCCAGGCAGCCTAATCAATCCAGGCCTAGGTTACGATTAACGCTGTCTGAAGCTGTAGCCTTTTGGTCTAATCTATCGTCAAAGGGGCACCCAAACAGCGTTTCATATGAACCCCTGCTGACTTCGGAAAACTCCCCCAAGGAGGACCAGAGGACGGCTTTGGAGCTGACGTCATTAAATTTAATGAGCCAAAACCACCTGTCTCTGCTGCGTGGCGGGAACAAAGATTTGCAAGAACTGCCAAGGCAGCACCCAAAGGAGCCCCACGTTTTCTTAAGTAAGACTCGTTTTGAAACCCTAAGAGTTTCTGTAGAAAGCGTCCAGGATGGAATTCAGAAAAAATGGAAGCAGGTAATTGTTCATTTACTGGAGGGCACGATTCTTTGGAGTGGGTTTTTTTAGGGTTTAAAACCTGCAGAAGCTTGCTGTTATGGACTGAAGGTTTGTGCCCCCCAACTCCCTATGGTGCAGCCCTACTCCCTGCCGAGACGGTCTCAGGAGACAAGGCCTTTGGGAGGTGATGGCTTAGATGACACCGCGAGGGTGGGGCCCTCATGATGGGATGGGTGCCCTTATAAGAAGAGAGAGTAATGCCAGAGTTTCCTCTCTCTGTCACTTGAGAATGTGGTCATCGGCAAGCCAGGAAGAGAGCCCTCACCAGTACCCCACCAGGCTGGCACCTTACCTCGGAATCCCCAGGCTTCAGAACCGTGGCAACGTAGCACCTGCTGTTTCAGCCTCCCAGACCACGGCAGCCCAAGCAGGTTAAGACACTCCCATTCTGGGACCAGCAGTTAGCTTAATGGCTATGTCACTGGACTCCCATGTAGTTGACTGCAGTTCAAGTCCCAGACCGGTGGCTTAAACTCATGCTGGGTGCATGTGCGTGCGTGCCCAAGATCGCAAGAGGAGAATGGAGTAGAAGGGATTGTGGCATGGCCATCCCCCCTGGGGGGCGATTTCTCGCTTTCTATCTTTCTTTCTCTCTGTCTTTCTGACGAGCGCATGCTCCCTATAGCAAAAACCTCTCAAAAAAAAAAGACACTCTCATTCCCTCCCTCCCCATTTCAAAGGCCCACGTCCACCCGCATCTCTGAATCGCCTCCCCCTGTAATCTCCCCCTACTTTTCTGTGTTCCGGCCCACTGGCCTCCTAGCACACATCAGGCATGCTCTCACCTCAGGACCTTTGCACCAGCCACGCTGCCATCCACAAATCCATGTGGCTTGGCTCACTCCTTCATCAGAGAAGTTGTTCCACGTTTCCACACTCCTTTTTTTTTGTGTGTGTGTGACTTTTGCTATAGAGCACATGTGCTTGCTGGGGAGACAGAGAGAGAGAGACAGACAGAAAGTGAGAAATCACCCCCCAGGGGGGATGGCCACACCACAGTCCCTTCTCCTCCATTCTCCTCTTGGGATCTTGGGCACACACACACACGTGCCTGGTGTGAGTTTAAGCCACCGGGTCCGGGATGCAACCTGCAATCAACCACATGGGAGTCTAGGACCTTAACCACTATACCACCTGCTGGCCCTTCCTGACCTCCTTTTTACCTTATTTCTCTACATAGCATTTATAGTTTTCACTTAATCTTTTTTATTGTCTATCTTCCCTAATCACAACGTTTATAAAAACAAGTATTGTGTCTTTATTGTCGTAACCCGAGCACCTAGGAAAAGCCCTTGATCATTTTCTTACTCGATGGATGAATCAATGCATGAGTTTAGCCAGTCCTAAGCCTACCTAAATTTGAGCTCTCGACTTTTCTGTGCACCCAGTCTGGTCTCCACCATGCCTGCAAAGTGTTTGTTGTCTTCCATCCGGACCTTCCATAGGGCCCCTAGTTGAATGGGCCAGATGAAAGGTCTGTTAGACTCTCAGCAGCAGAGAAAGAGGGCCAAGAGGACATGCCTGGGCGAATAGGAGTACAGGAAAACTGATGAGCCACTGGAGACAACAGCAAGCGTCCACCCTGCCACAGGCTCTGGGTTCTCCTGTGCATCCCAACCAGAGGTGGGCACAGCAGCCGGGAACTCACGTCAAAGCCCAGGCGAGCTGTGGGCCCCAGTCTGGGGGCTGAAGGCAGAACTCATCCCCGAGGGCAGGACATTGACCTCGATGGACAGGATCACTATCTCGCAGTAGGGACCGAGAGGAAACCAAGAGCCTCCAATGGTTCCAGGACCTCAGGACCTTGTCACTCAAGGGACGGCCCCTGGAGATGGGGTAGGGGCAGCCCACTGGTTCGAGAAAGAGAGGGGATGGGCTCCATTGGGTCTGCTCACTTAGGAGCCTGAGGGTGGAGACTTCCAGGCATTTAGCAGCCGGGGGAGGCAGAAGGAGGAGAAGGGACCAGGGTCACGGATACCACTGTGGTTGTCTTAATGTTTTATCATCTTGTCTCTCAGAGAGGCTTTAAAGAATTGCATTTCTGCCCTTAAGAGTTACTTCTCACCACCCCTCATTTATATAGCTTTCTTCTCCATTTCTGGTGTCCTCTTCTGTCCGATGGATGAATTTAAATTCACAATGTTAAACGCTGTTGCTTTAATGAAAGCTTACCCAGGGTCCAGAGGACTTAACCACCCCCCTAGAGTCAGAGCTAACATTCCATTCAGAGCTCAAGCTGGTGGTGGATTAATTAATTCTGCCTTTAAAAAGAAAAAAGAAAAACTCTCGCCTTTCTTTTAGAACCACGATAAACTACTTCTTTATTTTTTGTCGGTTTTATCCACCTTTTTTTTAAGAGCTAGGCTCAGCTTTATTGGTTTTTTTTTTTTTTTTCTCCTGTGCCTTTTCAAGTGAAAAGAACTTTCTTTTTTTATTAACATTGTTCCTTGCCTGCTTAGTACCCGGGCTTCTCAACAAGATCTTCCTGGAAAGCCCTGAGTCACCCACGGCTGGCCTGGGCTTGCCCAGGCTCCTCAGTCAGGGAGTCCAGGCTTACAGATCCAACCAGCCCTAGTGACTTCTGTGTTGATAAAGTGAGTGACAAAGGACAGAAGGGAAAACATCCCCCGGGGCTTCACTCACATGAAGCTCAGTTTGGATCTGTTTCTTAATTTTTTTTTTTTTTTGAGAGGTTTTTTTCGCTATAGGGTGCATGCGCTTGCCAGACAGACAGAGAGAGACATAGAGACAGAAAGCGAGAAATCACCCCCCAGGGGGGATGGTGACACCGCAATCCCTTCTCCTCCATTCTCCTCTCGGGATCTTGGGCACGCACGCACACGCGCCTGGCGTGAGTTTTAAGCCACCGGGTCCGGGACGTGAACCATGGTCGACTACGTGGGAGTCCAGCAACATAGCCATTACACTAACTGCTGGTTCCCTGTTTCTTAATTTTTTGATCATAAAAATCAGCTGCTCTAACCGTACTCGCCCTGCAGTTTCTGGTGTCCTGTCTGGTCGCAGTCATCCAGAACCTTGTCAGCCAAGGACCTCGAAGCCACTCACAAAAGTCCAGGTGGTCCACAGGCCCCTCCTTTGATCCAGGCCTCACTGGTCTCCTCTCCCAAGGAGCTCTCGTTGTTAAGTCTGTTTTCCAGGGAAGAAGAGCAAACCCTGAACTGATCATGACTTGTCTTAAGTCATCAAAAGATTTCACAGGCCCGTGCTCAACCCAGGGCCTGGGCCCAGCTAGGACCTGTCCTCTCGGTCCTTCAGGCACCTTCATTGTGGCCATAGCCACACTCCCCCAGTGTACTCTGGGCCTTCAGAACCCCTCAACAGCCTGGGATGGACCTCTCTGGAGGCTCCTGGCTTCTGTGTTCCAGTCATTCTAGAACCTTCTAGCCTAATTCCTGCCATGGTGCTGGTGAATTTCCCAGTAGGGACTGAATTCTGTTTTGATTCCCTAGCACCACGATTCTGTCTGCCTTGAAGCAATCAGGCTTGTCACAACCTTAGTCTTGGCCGATCTGCAGCAGCTGAGCTTGGGGCATGTCCCCAGGTACATTTCCATACCAGGGAGAAGCACAGCCTGACACCCACTCTCTTCTTGCACCTGCCTGGTCTTGGGTGTCCTGGGGTAGCATTTACTGAGACCAGCTCTTCCTGAAGAGATATTTCTGTGATTCAGCTTCCCAGGATGGAATCCTCCTCCTCCTTCTCTATTTTTTCTGAGCAAGCCGGAGCCAATTCCCACCCACTGTATCTCTGTTGCAACTCCGCACCGCTTTTCAAGGTGGATTTTATGGTTATTCGGAGCAGAGTGCCCCCAGCTTGGTTTCTCTCCCATCCCCCAAAGAGCTAGGTTTGACAAAGTAATTCTGAACACCTCCGGCGCAGGCTCCTACCAGCAGGAAGAACATCCGTAGTTCAGATATAATACAATAAAACCCACCAGCTTGTTTTCTCACCAGTCGCCTTGTAGCTAAGTGCTAATGGTGTCTTCTGTTGAATTGATTAGGTCTGTTGGCTGGGTGTCTAATACCCCGGCCGGGATGCAATTACAGACTACCTGCTGCTTTTCTGTCTTCTTACCTAATCGTTCCATAGCTCCTCCCGGCGAGGTTAGAACACTTCCACTTACTCCTCTGTTTGGAGGTGAAGGAACGAAGGCATGGTCCATGGCAGAATGGAGCCGATGAGCCAGTGACCTTCTGGCTCCACCAAGCTGTTTACCCACAGTCCTCAGCTGCCAGGTTACCCTGGTCAATTGCCCCAGAAAGTACAGGTTCCATCCAAGCATTCTGTGACCCACTGTGGTGCAGCTAGGGAGTCCCTGCGCTCAGGGCTGGCCCACCGGTGGCCTGTCTTGTCAAGGTCAAAGTCATCACGATTCTCAGGGAGTCAGTTTAGAATACAGAGGGAGCCGCAGAGATTATAGAAGCGGGGACAGCAGCAAAGTCATCATGAAAGTGACGCGCCAAAGCAGGGGGCCTTCCTGGTGGTTCCCTGATAAACACGACAGACATTCCTGTGCGTGCTCCCAGGAAGGCCTGGGGCTCTTCCCAATCATTCCCGAGGTCGTCGGAGGGCTCTGCTTCCCTTGTTTTCTCAGGAATCCTTCCACCAGCCCTGAATCAGCATGGCGAGAGCTTTGGCTGCCCAGACTCAGACTCAGAACGCAGAGGTTACTGGGCCAGACAGGCTTAGCTCACAAGCTCTCGGCCTCGTAAGCTGCGAGGCTGGGAACAGGGCCACACGCTCGGAGGCCCTGTCTCCGATCTGCTGTAGCTACATACCACACCACAATGCCTCATAGTCCTCAGGCCTACCCGGTATGGTCACCAACAGAAGGTCACTGCCCCCTGTCCCCTGTCTCAGGGATCGTCTCCTGGAGGTGAAGGCCTATTGAAACTCAGTCCACATCAGAAATAGCTTCTCATTCCCCCCACCAACTCCGGTCAGGGTTATTTATCCAATCTTTCAAAGGAAGAGGAGAGATGGCCCACAGTGCTGGGAAGGGGTGCCCGGCATGTTACACGTGTTACCGCATTTCATCTTCACACAGCCGACACTATCGGCCCATAGTACAGATAACGAAACGGGCTGGGAGAGCAAACCACGGCCTCAGAGTCACAGAGAAAGTAAATGCATCGAAAACCCAAGACTGGGGCGGGCCAATGGTGCTGTGGTGACATGCAATGCAATACTGACCTCACACGGGAAGGTCCCAGGTTCACATCCCAAGGCGTCCCTATACATGCCAGCATGTGCTGTCTGAGGCTGGGGTTGTTTCATGGGATGGAGACCTCATTGGGGTACCTGACTTTTTCTTTCTCTTAAGGAAAACATAAACTTCAAACAAGCAAACCAAATGAAAACCGTCTGACACCAAAGCCCAGACTCTCCCCTGAGACCTGTTACCCCTGCAGTTACCTGGAGCTACCCCGTTTGGAACCTGGTGTGTCTCACTTTCTGGGAGTCCCATGTGGCCCCATATTCTATTGTGAGTGCATTTGGTTAATTTCATATTTTCTTTCTCATCATTCCGATTATTTGTTTCTGTTTTCCTCTCTCACACAGTCCACCTGGAAGTCCAGTTGGAGCCAGCCTGGACAAGCAGCTAGACTACTCAGTCTCTCACTGCTTATGCTCGATCCCTGCCACCTACCCCGCGCTCCTGAATTCCTGCCATGGGGCTCCTTGCCCTGCTACCACTGTGGATATGTTTAAAGTCAGTGTCAGATGGCCACGCTGGGATCCAACACTGCCGCAGCGCCCCTGTTCACTCGGGGTCAAGGGGCAGTCTCTCTCATGGTCTGGAGGACTTAGGTGGTCTCTCTGATGTTTCTCTCTCTCTCAGGGGCCTCCCGGATGCTTGACCCTCTTGAACCTTTGAGCCTTTGCCCTGAATGTTCATCCTCGAGGGATCCACTGGGCTAATTCCTTCACCACCTTTGAATCTTTGCCCACACTGCACCATCCCGAGGCCGCCTCTGCCTCCTCCTCTTCAGACAGTCCCAACTCCACTTACACCCTGTAACTTCCCTGTTACCATGTTGGCGATGTGCTGTCTGACTCCTTCCAGTAGAATGAAAACTTCCTAAGAATGAGGATCTTTGGGCCAGCAGGTGGTGTGGTGGTTAAGGTGCTGGACTCCCACATGGCTGACTGCAGTTCGAGTCCCAGACTTGGCAGCTTGCTTTCTCACTTCCTCTCTTTGGTGACTATAGTAGATTAAATAATAATAATAAATTAAATTAAATAATTCTTAAAAAGAAGAATGGCAGGGGACAGCAGGTGGCATGGTGGTTAAGGGTATTGGACTCCCATGTGGCCGACTGTTATTCAAGTCCTGGACCTGGTGGCTTGCTTTCTCATTTTCTCTCTCTCTCTTTCTCACTCTCTGTCTTCTCTGGTAAAATTAAAGTAAGTAAAGTTAAATAAAATAATTTTTAAAAAGAAGAAGAAGAAGAGGGAACTTTGTTTTCATCGCTGTCCATCCCTAGTGCCCAGAACAGTGCCTGGCACATAGGAGCTGATAACTAATCATTGGTTAAAGGATGGAGGTGTCCGCAGAGCAGACAGGGTCCGTAAGACTGGGCTCGCGGCTCCCTTGGTCTGTCTGGGACCTGTCATCCCTGTTGGCCATGACTAGGGTGGGACACTGGTCCCATTCTGCTTGCTCCCTGGGTCTGTATGTGCTTCCGTGAACTATTCCAGCCCAGGAAAACATGTCGCCCTCACACAGCCCAACTCTTGGGTCTCTCGAGAAATCACCCCCCAGGGGGGATGGTGACACCGCAATCCCTTCTCCTCCATTCTCCTCTCGGGATCTTGGGCACGCACGCACACGCGCCTGGCGTGAGTTTTAAGCCACCGGGTCCGGGACGTGAACCATGGTCGACTACGTGGGAGTCCAGCAACATAGCCATTACACTAACTGCTGGTTCCCTGTTTCTTAATTTTTTGATCATAAAAATCAGCTGCTCTAACCGTACTCGCCCTGCAGTTTCTGGTGTCCTGTCTGGTCGCAGTCATCCAGAACCTTGTCAGCCAAGGACCTCGAAGCCACTCACAAAAGTCCAGGTGGTCCACAGGCCCCTCCTTTGATCCAGGCCTCACTGGTCTCCTCTCCCAAGGAGCTCTCGTTGTTAAGTCTGTTTTCCAGGGAAGAAGAGCAAACCCTGAACTGATCATGACTTGTCTTAAGTCATCAAAAGATTTCACAGGCCCGTGCTCAACCCAGGGCCTGGGCCCAGCTAGGACCTGTCCTCTCGGTCCTTCAGGCACCTTCATTGTGGCCATAGCCACACTCCCCCAGTGTACTCTGGGCCTTCAGAACCCCTCAACAGCCTGGGATGGACCTCTCTGGAGGCTCCTGGCTTCTGTGTTCCAGTCATTCTAGAACCTTCTAGCCTAATTCCTGCCATGGTGCTGGTGAATTTCCCAGTAGGGACTGAATTCTGTTTTGATTCCCTAGCACCACGATTCTGTCTGCCTTGAAGCAATCAGGCTTGTCACAACCTTAGTCTTGGCCGATCTGCAGCAGCTGAGCTTGGGGCATGTCCCCAGGTACATTTCCATACCAGGGAGAAGCACAGCCTGACACCCACTCTCTTCTTGCACCTGCCTGGTCTTGGGTGTCCTGGGGTAGCATTTACTGAGACCAGCTCTTCCTGAAGAGATATTTCTGTGATTCAGCTTCCCAGGATGGAATCCTCCTCCTCCTTCTCTATTTTTTCTGAGCAAGCCGGAGCCAATTCCCACCCACTGTATCTCTGTTGCAACTCCGCACCGCTTTTCAAGGTGGATTTTATGGTTATTCGGAGCAGAGTGCCCCCAGCTTGGTTTCTCTCCCATCCCCCAAAGAGCTAGGTTTGACAAAGTAATTCTGAACACCTCCGGCGCAGGCTCCTACCAGCAGGAAGAACATCCGTAGTTCAGATATAATACAATAAAACCCACCAGCTTGTTTTCTCACCAGTCGCCTTGTAGCTAAGTGCTAATGGTGTCTTCTGTTGAATTGATTAGGTCTGTTGGCTGGGTGTCTAATACCCCGGCCGGGATGCAATTACAGACTACCTGCTGCTTTTCTGTCTTCTTACCTAATCGTTCCATAGCTC